GGGAAACCTCGCATAATTTGGTACCCTGCTATACCGGTTTATACAGGTTTTACTGTATATAACATACCTAAATATAAGCAGTTCTATACGAGCAAATATGTAATGTACTGTACATATAGATGAAATATACTTAATGAAATATTTTATTAAGCATATTTCATACGAATGCATTGTATAATTTTCACATTATTTTATATTAAATAAATTATTTATGAAATATTATGTATACTGACCATGCTTACCAGTGTATAAGAGTGGATAAAACAGTTGCAAATTGATAGTTGATCGCGGGTTCGTATCTCATTAATGAGAATCAATATTTGGTTGGCTATTTTGGTTTCTCATAGTAGCAGAATGGCTTCTTAGACCAAACTGTAGGATTAATCGAATAAGGCAATGCAACACTTAAGCAATCTGCCTGGATTAGGGAATGCCTACCGGGAAGAGCTTCTATGAGAAACGACTCTATTTAAGTGCTAGACGTGAAGAAAAGCCGGTAAACTTCACTCTGTTAGCCGCTTGAACAGACACGAACCCACGACTAACGACCAACGTTCAGTTATTTTATCCACTGCGACATTGTGAAGATGAATTTAGCTGATTAACTCTAATTGCATTGGATGAAATTAACAAGTATATTTAATTAAATTAATTACACAATTTAATACTAATTTCGACGACTATAAGAGATTAATTGATAAAACAATATTTACTTACTTGGTCCTGTCCATCCCCAACCCGCCATTTTCGCATGCCCGTGTACAAATGATCTCTGTCTAACTGGTAATGCAATTGGATTAACATCACACAAATCAGAAACAGACTGCTTCAAAATTAAAAGTCCAATATCATTAATATTTGTTCCTTGGAAGTCTGGATGCAAGACTTTTCTATCGAAGTAAACTAATTTTCCATTAAATTTATTAACATCGCATATTCTTCCTTCAAGATCTTCGATGGCGTTTCTAAGTTAAATAATTAAAATAATATTGAAATTAGTAACACGCAATATTTACATTGAGTAAATTAATCAGTTATTCTAATTGGTACGCGACTTCTTGCCACAGGAGATGGACTTTCGTGTTAAATATTAGAAAGAAACTGAATAATATCCTAAAATAATTCGGCAGTTAAATTTGACGTATGCTCAACTTATCTCTCTGGAAGGCTCAAGTTCGAATCTATGTCAGAAGATGGATGAAAAACTGTTTTAGGGTAGATTTTTCCATGAAAAATTGCTGAGACTCAGCAATTTTTCGTGGGAAATCTACCATAGAAGATCCATGTTGTGCCCACAAAGATGAAAAAAGTTTCGAAACAGGTACAAGGCCTTCATAGGATTGTCAGGTATTTGATGAAATCCGGAACAAAATGAGTTCTTCCTGAAAGATCTGGGATGCTTCAATTTCAAGACATGCAACTAATTTATATTTTTATAATGACGAAATACATTTAAAATTTGGGGGGAAAAAGATATTTCGTTGTAGAAACAGTTTATAAAAGAAAGTCCTCCTGTTTTTAGGTGGCAATACTTGAAAACTGAGCCATCTGGCAACCCTAAGCCATCGTGGTCTGAACTATTGTATGTATTTCGATCAGAGCGTGATGTTTATGATGTTTCAGGCGCTCTTTTTGGAAGGGTGGAAGTAGGGCACGCTTCCATAATATCAATTAGATTACCGTTTTTCACTTAAAATTATTACGACGTTGGATTTTTTAAATACAGTACTCTTTCCGCCCTGCGGACACTAAGAGAGCCTCTTATAGCAGGCCCATTATGGATTCGGCCAAGTCCACGATGGGGCGACAGGGTGGTGAGAGACGGTGACCGACATATCCGAACAGATCACCCCCGGAAAAATTCCTGGAATTCCTTGATCTGTCCAAATTCGATTTCGGATCCTCCAGAGCGATAGGTTGTCACCTTGCTCGCTGGGCCATCTGGCCGTCAACTGACGGCGTTGGACAATAAAGCCCTTAATAAAATTAAAGGTGTTATAAAAGCAGCCACATATTACAGTATCCAAATGGATTGTACTCCTCATAATTCTCAAAAGGAACGAAATTCAATAATTATGAGATATGTAAATTTGAATATAAAAATATTTTAGGGCCCCTAAAGTTTCGTGCACCCTGGCCTCTTTATACAGAAGACGGCCCTGATTGACGGAATAAGATAACGCAACACATGATCTATTATCTGCCATGGGAGAAGTGTCTCCGGGAGAAGTTTCTACGAAAAATGGCCCTATTTAGTTATTACACATGTGAAAAAAACTCGATAAGGCACGAACCCACATCCCACTCGTCAATTCATAAATTACGCGTAAACTTACCCATTTAACATATGAGCTGCGCCTATTGCCGTTTGTGTAGTAATCATGGAAAATGCACCATGATATCTTGTCAAATGGAAAATAGCCATCTGAAAAGTTTAAGAATTATAATACCAAAATTAATTACAATTAAAGTTTCTATTTAATTAATATTTACGTCTAAACAATATGCTTAACTTACTATGTACGGAAATTCGCCATTTTTGGCTGCAGTACCTCCAACTATTCTTTTCGTAATTGCTAAAAATTTCGATAAATTATTCTCATTTACATCATATTTGTGTGTAATAAACTGTTTGTAACTTACTTGAATGAGTTCCATTCACAGTGGCAGAGACATTAAAACAGTAGATTAAATACATGAATACAAAAATATTTTTTAGTCTGAAATAAACAATAATTTATAACAAAACACAATAAATATATAATAATGCTCTTAAATTGAATAATTTATTACCTGAAAAAATATTCCATTTTCACAAGATATTATCTTCGAAATTATATTATGTGTTATAATGTATTATTTAAATTTCAGCAATGTGAAATATTATACTATATAATTTGTTTAGCAAATATAAATACAGTATTATGTTCATAACATATTGTGCTGTTTACTGCAGTGATAAATAAACCAAATATTTAAAAATTCAAAGTTCCAAAGTAATAAATAAACAAGAGAAGTTCGTTAATCTCATTACAGTAATGCCAGATTATCGTGAATACCGGATTATGTGCTTTTTGTGCAATCCGCATGTTGCTGTACATTTTTATGGGAAACTGGTCTCTATTTAGGAGTTACAAACATGGAGAAAACCCGGAAAACTCCACATGCCAGACCGTTGGCCAGGTGCGAATTCACTTCTAGTATTATCCATTTGGTGACTGGTGGGCATGTTTATTCTGTTTAGATCGATTGAAATCTCTGTAAAAATGTTAACAAACACAAAATTTAAGGCACAATTACTTGTTCAGATCATAATGAAACAGTGTCTAAGATGCCATGGTCCCGGATAAATTTGCTTTACATTATTTATAAGTATATATTCTGGACCCGATTCGCAAACTAATACCATGTGTGACCTTTGTGGTTCCATACAAGTCTTATATAAATATTTCACCTACAGATAGAAAAAGTGTTAATTTTTGTGATACTCGACAATATTCCTCATATTATTATAAAGGCACTTTAAACTAGGTGGGTAATCCTATCTTCACATGTAGAATGTCCTACTCGAATAATTATTTTAAAAATTCAATTAATTACACCTAGCTTATAAAAAATAAATAAGTTAGTAACGAAGATACAGCACTGACAGATGCTCTCCTAGACCTTTATTTATTAATCATCTGGTTTTAATGCTTATCGAAACGTGTAAAAATTTTTTACTGACTACGAATGTTAAGAGCGTAAGTACACTAAGTAAATAAGAGTATCATTAGAAGAAATTACTTTTAGCGACTGTGACATTAAAACTCAGTGTTACAGCTGTAAAAATGTACATATTAATTGTTTATTCATGAAAAATATTGAAATTATCAGACATTAATACTTGGGCAGTTGATGGTATTAAATTTTTGAAACACAGAACACTACTATATGTGCGACATGAGTCATATTTTTTCGAATGGAGTAGGGCTTAATGGAAATTTTTCTCTTATTGACACTGAATACTTTTAAAAAAATCATCTCTACTCTGAAAACTAGCGTTTTCTCCTATTTACAATAATTAATAATATAAAAGCTCGCTGGTTTCAGCAGTGTCGTCTTCTGTCAAACTTTCATCGTCAGAAATAGCAGTTCTTTACAGGGTTATAAACACAAGACTCAAACAGAAGTTGACGAATTTCAAACGAAAAACAAGTAACACCAAAAAAGTCTCCTCACGTAATTTTGAAGAAAAGTACAAACAGCGATCACTTGATATGCATCCGATGGTGAATCAATCGCACCACACATGCAAATTTCCCTTCTGTAATTACATAAAAAAAAAACCTTATGAATTACACCTAACTTGTAATAGTATGGCTGTATTAATGCAAGAAAATTTATTATCTATATATATAATCGAGATGTGTTGATGATAATAATAATAATAGTAATAATAACAGTTATCCCTTAAATATTTACCCAAAAGGTCAATAGGCACTAGTAACGACCTCGGAGAACCAGCATTTACACCATCAACATCAATACCTTCCTCCCTCCAAAATCATTAGTTTATTTTTAAATGACTTACTGAATTGTATTAAATAGAATAGTGTGAATACGGGGGCGTAAGTCTCCCGTTCACTTGTCAAGACGACTAATTGACTCTCAAATGTCAGGCGAGTGGATGGAGAGAATTTGGGATCGACGATAAGATGAAGGACGTGATCGAGTAAAGGAGTCTACCATATTTTTAACAATAAAAGAACAATTTATTGTACGAAAAACTAACAAAACTACTACACAACTCGTAACTATACAAACAAACACGAATGTCGGCCGCATGGGTGGACCGACCTACAATCGCAATCTTTCGATAAATACGCCGATCTGAAGGAGCAAGTTAACCCGGCGGCAACTAGCTAGAAGAAGCCGTGCAGTTTATCGATGTGGAGAAACTTTGAGACATAGCCGTTTAATATCGCGAGAGAGAGTTCACTGGTTTTTCCATACCTCTAGAGAGAGAGTTCCCCGACGACTATTAATAACCTGGAGGCACTAATATATGGGTCCACGGAAACGGTCGTATAATCCACTCTGGGCACCAAATAAATATAATCACGACTTAAGCGCTGATCGGAGATAGATCTTCGGAGATCGGAATTCGCCAGATTCGGAGGATCGTGCCGACTTTTCTTAAGAGACTCCCCCGAGAGGGGGTAGGAACGGCCTTTATAGGTTTTTGTGGTGAATTTCCATCACCTGATCGGATGTTCATAGGTTAGGGGTTATAGGTATTCCAGGGACCTAAATAAATGACGAAATTTGGACGCTAACTTTAAACCTTTTTGAAAGGTTAGATGCGCGTTCTGCAAAGAACAATGGATGTTGCTAGTTAGGACCGGAAAGTTTACACAAGCCCAGCTAAGATCGTTTTTTTTCTTCTAGGGCGTTACATAAACGAAAGTTTAATTAAAATTTTAGTTAATTAAAGAGCGGGATTTTCGCCACAAAAATTTCGGATCTCACAATAGGGCTCAAAATACAACTTTGTCTAACACTTGTCTGAAAATAAAAGCAGAGAACAGCTATTCCTCCATTTAATACTAACATTTGAGCCGCTATATAACTGTCCAAGCAAGGAAACAAGTTTAAAACTTTAATAATAGTTTAATAATTTCCTCCATAATAGATTCCTATCAATATTATCAAATGCGGATCTACAAAAAATGCATATACCTTACGCCGTTTTCCTCTTAACGTCTTAGAAATAACAGTATAAATAAAAATATTATCAACAGTCGAATAGCCTGTACGAAAACAATCCTGGTTCTCTGACAGAATATCTCTCATATTTAACCAACTTATTAACCTATCATACAAAACTCTACAAAAAATCTTTGAAACACAACCCAGCTCTCAATTCTAAAACGTTTAATACAATTCCCAAATCAATTACTGAAGACCCTCGATTAAGAAACAAAAGTATACTCTCCCATTTCATCAACACAAGCTCTACCATTTAGAATAATTAAATCATTATTCGCACAATACTGAAGTACTTTCTCCCTCCTCCAACATTCATATTTACATCCTTAGAAACTTTGCATCTCTTATTAGCGGCAATACCAAAACAATCACACATACATGTCTGAATTTAATTACGGACATCCGTTTGTGCATTATTAAAGTCACTCAACATAATCCAATTCACTCGTTCTCTACCTCAAATTTAGACAATATTTCAAAAATTTCTTGCCACCGTTGTTCCTGCATGTAAAGAAAATAAACTTTAAATTTCCCAAGCGGTAATAAAATATTAACCAAAACAATATAACTATCACTAAAAATAATATTAAATTATAACTCCAAAAAGACTGCGGTTTGTTGCTAATTCCAGCACAATTCCATGCCATGGTAGAAAATGCAGAATAATGGTTGCTATGAGATCGGAACAACCTTGGCCGATAGGTCGTCAAATTTATACCAAAATCCATCAAATAACAGCTTACTTATCATAACTTAACCGAACACTTCTTGAACCTTTCCCCTTTTCTTCTTCCCAAATACCCTCAAGTTATATCTAATACCTTTTAGACGTTTTGAGAATTCATCATACACAAATACATTAAGATTGAGCGGTTCTCAAATACTGCCTTTTAAAACCTCAATTTGGATGGATTGCATTCCATGGATTGCATGCCACTGTAAGTACGTGTATACAGACGATCGCTTGTTGTTTGTTGCATGTCAGCAGAACAATGTTGATCAACTTGTTTCATAATTTATAATATGATACCCAAATTTGTGAACCAAGCGTGTTACTGTACAGTACATACAATACATATATATATATTATATCTGGTAAATCGACACTGCTGGTCCCATATATGTCGGATTATAGAGACTCTACTGTATTTTATTTTTGCACGTACAGTACGTTTTCCGAGTTTTCTTACGGTTAATAAAATCTAAATAGGAGACCATTTCCAAAAATTTGTCTGTAGTGCACACTAACTATGTTAGTAATGCTACGGCTACCTTCGTTACGAGGAAGTTATTATTATTGTTTAGTATTTACTTTCATCTTGTAATTTGCATTTATTTTGTTTTTATGATCCGTACGAATACACCGTAAACGTTTGGGTTAAAATACATTTAATGATCTGTCGATCGGTTGGTATTCTGCTTTGATTAAACATTAATCAATTGATTTCGGTTATTGTTATCAAACTTTTACTAAGGAAATCTGTAGAGAAAATCTTTGGGTTTTTCGTTTTCAGAATGATTATTTTCCAGTTCTACATGAATTCCTTATTCTGTGAGTTCTCGAAGGTCGTCGTTAATAAGGCTCTCGCCAGAAACTTGCAGTATCCTGCTCGTCTACATCTCTTAGTCCTGCTCTATCGATTAGGTTGATAATTTGGTCAACCTAACGATACAGCGACAGGCTCTTCTCGTTGGAATTCTCGGATGCTTTCAGACATAACTTCTTCCATACTCCGTTCACGCATTTATCAGTTAATTCTTGCCAAGCGAAGTCGATATTGCCTATGGCATACATGATGTTATATATTTTTTCCAAAATTGCACAAAACAAACATAGATTTAAAAAAGTACAGCGCTGCGACGAAATGCCACATTTTGCTGATTGGTTCGTGTTCGTAAATAATAGTATTATATGCGAATCAATGAAATGCCGCGATGATTTAAATCAGAGTAAATTTCGAGCATTTTTAGGCTTCGAGCAGACCGCGTTATATCAAATCAGCGTTAATCGAAGCAACGTTAAACGGGGTCTTACTGTATTTATATAACAAGACGTGCAAAAGACATTTCCGTAAACAATAGTACAAGAACGTCCTACTCCTTCACATTTGGCGCTACAACGAAAAGTCAGTTTCCATTGCAAAAGAACACGTGTTGTATCAAATTGTAGATAATACGCTGGCGATACAAATGGCATCTGCGACTGGAGGAAGTCGTTTTCATCAACTATGTTGTCCAGTTAATTTGCCAGAATATGCATTTTATTTAAAGATGTTCTATGAAAGACAACTCTGTAGTTCACTATAGTTTACTCCAAAGACTATTAAATCCAGAATACTTGAGCAGAATAATCACACGGTTCGAAGAAAATGGATATCTGGAATAACCCGGTCAATTGCACAAACTAAACAGTTCATAATTCGTTGAAGATGTTATCAGAGCTGCAGTTAAAAAATCTATTTTAATAATGTTGTAGTTTCTATAGTCACGTGCAGTATTACGGCAATTTCGTATAATCTTTGGCACACTATTCATTGTTCTGGGCACAGGATTACTGACAATCAGCAGTTGCTTGCTGCAGACACGGAAATCCAGTTGACAATTTCATTTATTTGATTGTCGTGGAAGATCCAATAGAACGGTGAAACACCTTTTCAGTTTAGTGAATAGAGAGAACAACCATAACTCATATATTAGGGCCATCGATAGCATTTTTGTTTCGCAGCAGATTCCCTGCAATCGGATGAAGTTAGGCTAGTTTAAATTCACGACCAGACTTATTCTTAAAACATTTTTCTTAGATGTTATTTTAAACAAGCCTATCATATGCCCTGTGATAGCAAGGATACACAGAAATATCAAGATGTTCATCAGTTTTGCACAAAAGATCACGTACACGGGGGTAATCGAGGCACATACTCCTCGTTAGCTCCTTTCCTTGTCCCCAAAGCGGCCCTAAACAACAGAAAATATAGACTTCTAGCCTGTCTACAATAAATAAAAAAGAAGTAGTAAATGATATTTGTCCATTATGCCATGCAATTTCGTCCTGTAAACATCAGTTTTCTAGTAAAGTAAGAGATTTAAATCCTTGGAACTTACTTAACAACAATTTTCTTTGTCATAAAAATTAATGGAATGGCCTGAGTTACTTCTTAATTTATCGAAGAAAACAAAGATAGTAACTGCGTAACAGCGGTGCTAACGTTCTACAGAAGAAAATGTTTCAATTTTTGCATTATCAGGTTTATTATCAATTTATCATTCTAAAGCAGGAGTCGCCAAAGTGGTCGATATCGACCCCCAGAGTCGATGCAACATCATTGGGGGGTCGATGCGGCTAAGTGGTCGCAACCGTTTTTTTTTTGTTTTTGTTTTGCTCATACACTTACACTTGTAATAAAACTTTACGGTGGGGGTCCATGTGAGGTTTAGGAAAGTGGTTGGGGGGTCGACGGTTGAAAAAGTTTGGCGAACCCCGCTCTAAACCATAATGTGAATTTTACCTTAAGTATAGACTTCTTCGTTAAATGGAAGAAATTCATCGCTCTGAAACCTTTATCTCCTTTCGATACCTTCAACAGCACTAATGCCTGACAGAATATTGCATTGAATATCAATGAATTATTTTTAAAATATCAAATTTAACGAGATTTCTTACCATTCTGTTGTCCTTCTCGTCGTTTTCGAAGTAACTATCCATGATGCAGGACGTGAAATTACCAATCTAATTCGTAAAATTAACGGAATAATCGGAGAATTTTATTAAAATAAATTGAAATTTAAAGCCAAACTTACCGCAGTCGATATCCCAGCTGCCCACATCATGCCAAAAACCGTGCCTATCAACTGAAGTAGAGAAAAAATTTGCACGAAATAATTTNATCATTTTATTACTCTATCTCCTTATTATTCCATTTATAACATTACTCATCAAAAAATATGGGTTCGCCCACAGAGTTTTCTTTAATGAAATGATAATATGCACTAGTGGCTACGAAAATGTCAGGAGCTTTTTCGTCACCATAAATACCTCCACTCATTACTCCAATAAGGAGTTCAATACCGTGATCATCTGTGTAAATTAATGGAGAACCCGAATCACCCTGAAAAATAATGGAAAAAAGATTAATTAAGTAATTTACGTTATGTTAAATTTAATCAATTAAACAATTCTTACGGGCATAGCACGAATTCCTTGTGTTTTCGTTAGAATCTCTTTACCGGTCAGAGTAATGTTAAAGTAATATTTATATGGTTTCGGATCGATTAATTGAACATCAGCGACAATAAGATTTCTTGCTATTTCTCCAGGATCTAAATTATCCCATTCAGAAAATTATATTATGTAATTTCATCAATTATAAATTTTTTTGTCCATTAAATAACGCACAAATACAATAATATATATATCAATATATTAAAACCTGTCCAAACCGGAACCTGAATAAAAGGGAAACCTCGCATAATTTGGTACCCTGCTATACCGGTTTATACAGGTTTTACTGTATATAACATACCTAAATATAAGCAGTTCTATACGAGTAAATATGTAATGTACTGTACATATAGATGAAATATACTTAATGAAATATTTTATTAAGCATATTTCATACGAATGCATTGTATAATTTTCACATTATTTTATATTAAATAAATTATTTATGAAATATTATGTATACTGACCATGCTTACCAGTGTATAAGAGTGGATAAAACAGTTGCAAATTGATAGTTGATCGCGGGTTCGTATCTCATTAATGAGAATCAATATTTGGTTGGCTATTTTGGTTTCTCATAGTAGCAGAATGGATTCTTGAACCAAACCGTAGGATTAATCGAATAAGGCAATGCAACACTTAAGCAATCTGCCTGGATTAGGGAATGCCTACCGGGAAGAGCTTCTATGAGAAACGACTCTATTTAAGTGCTAGACGTGAAGAAAAGCCGGTAAACTTCACTCTGTTAGCCGCTTGAACAGACACGAACCCACGACTAACGACCAACGTTCAGTTATTTTATCCACTGCGACATTGTGAAGATGAATTTAGCTGATTAACTCTAATTGCATTGGATGAAATTAACAAGTATATTTAATTAAATTAATTACACAATTTAATACTAATTTCGACGACTATAAGAGATTAATTGATAAAACAATATTTACTTACTTGGTCCTGTCCATCCCCAACCCGCCATTTTCGCATGCCCGTGTACAAATGATCTCTGTCTAACTGGTAATGCAATTGGATTAACATCACACAAATCAGAAACAGACTGCTTCAAAATTAAAAGTCCAATATCATTAATATTTGTTCCTTGGAAGTCTGGATGCAAGACTTTTCTATCGAAGTAAACTAATTTTCCATTAAATTTACTAACATCGCATATTCTTCCTTCAAGATCTTCGATGGCGTTTCTAAGTTAAATAATTAAAATAATATTGAAATTAGTAACACGCAATATTTACATTGAGTAAATTAATCAGTTATTCTAATTGGTACGCGACTTCTTGCCACAGGAGATGGACTTTCGTGTTAAATATTAGAAAGAAACTGAATAATATCCTAAAATAATTCGGCAGTTAAATTTGACGTATGCTCAACTTATCTCTCTGGAAGGCTCAAGTTCGAATCTATGTCAGAAGATGGATGAAAAACTGTTTTAGGGTAGATTTTTCCATGAAAAATTGCTGAGACTCAGCAATTTTTCGTGGGAAATCTACCATAGAAGATCCATGTTGTGCCCACAAAGATGAAAAAAGTTTCGAAACAGGTACAAGGCCTTCATAGGATTGTCAGGTATTTGATGAAATCCGGAACAAAATGAGTTCTTCCTGAAAGATCTGGGATGCTTCAATTTCAAGACATGCAACTAATTTATATTTTTATAATGACGAAATACATTTAAAATTTGGGGGGGAAAAGATATTTCGTTGTAGAAACAGTTTATAAAAGAAAGTCCTCCTGTTTTTAGGTGGCAATACTTGAAAACTGAGCCATCTGGCAACCCTAAGCCATCGTGGTCTGAACTATTGTATGTATTTCGATCAGAGCGTGATGTTTATGATGTTTCAGGCGCTCTTTTTGGAAGGGTGGAAGTAGGGCACGCTTCCATAATATCAATTAGATTACCGTTTTTCACTTAAAATTATTACGACGTTGGATTTTTTAAATACAGTACTCTTTCCGCCCTGCGGACACTAAGAGAGCCTCTTATAGCAGGCCCATTATGGATTCGGCCAAGTCCACGATGGGGCGACAGGGTGGTGAGAGACGGTGACCGACATATCCGAACAGATCACCCCCGGAAAAATTCCTGGAATTCCTTGATCTGTCCAAATTCGATTTCGGATCCTCCAGAGCGATAGGTTGTCACCTTGCTCGCTGGGCCATCTGGCCGTCAACTGACGGCGTTGGACAATAAAGCCCTTAATAAAATTAAAGGTGTTATAAAAGCAGCCACATATTACAGTATCCAAATGGATTGTACTCCTCATAATTCTCAAAAGGAACGAAATTCAATAATTATGAGATATGTAAATTTGAATATAAAAATATTTTAGGGCCCCTAAAGTTTCGTGCACCCTGGCCTCTTTATACAGAAGACGGCCCTGATTGACGGAATAAGATAACGCAACACATGATCTATTATCTGCCATGGGAGAAGTGTCTCCGGGAGAAGTTTCTACGAAAAATGGCCCTATTTAGTTATTACACATGTGAAAAAAACTCGATAAGGCACGAACCCACATCCCACTCGTCAATTCATAAATTACGCGTAAACTTACCCATTTAACATATGAGCTGCGCCTATTGCCGTTTGTGTAGTAATCATGGAAAATGCACCATGATATCTTGTCAAATGGAAAATAGCCATCTGAAAAGTTTAAGAATTATAATACCAAAATTAATTACAATTAAAGTTTCTATTTAATTAATATTTACGTCTAAACAATATGCTTAACTTACTATGTACGGAAATTCGCCATTTTTGGCTGCAGTACCTCCAACTATTCTTTTCGTAATTGCTAAAAATTTCGATAAATTATTCTCATTTACATCATATTTGTGTGTAATAAACTGTTTGTAACTTACTTGAATGAGTTCCATTCACAGTGGCAGAGACATTAAAACAGTAGATTAAATACATGAATACAAAAATATTTTTTAGTCTGAAATAAACAATAATTTATAACAAAACACAATAAATATATAATAATGCTCTTAAATTGAATAATTTATTACCTGAAAAAATATTCCATCTTCACAAGATATTATCTTCGAAATTATATTATGTGTTATAATGTATTATTTAAATTTCAGCAATGTGAAATATTATACTATATAATTTGTTTAGCAAATATAAATACAGTATTATGTTCATAACATATTGTGCTGTTTACTGCAGCGATAAATAAACCAAATATTTAAAAATTGAAAGTTCCAAACTAATAAATAAACAAGAGAAGTTCGTTAATCCCATTACAGTAATGCCAGATTATCGTGGATGCCGGATTACGTGCTTTTTGTGCAATCCGCATGTTGCTGTACATTTTGTTTTTTATGGGAAACTGGTCCCTATTTAGGAGTTACAAACATAGAGAAAACCCGGAAAATTCCACATGCCAGACCGTTGGCCAGGCGCGAATTCACTTCTAGTGTTATCCATTTGGTGACTGGTGGGCATGTTTATTCTGTTTAGATCGATTGAAATCTCTGTAAAAATGTTAACAAACAAAATTTAAGGCACAATTACTTGTTCAGATCATAATGAAACAGTGTCTAAGATGCCATGGTCCCGGATAAATTTGCTTTACATTATTTATATGTTCTGGACCCGATCCGCAAACCAATACCATGTGTGATCTTGGAGGTTCCATACCAGTTTTATATGAATATTTCACCTTACAGACAGAAAAAGTGTTAATGACCTGGTTTTAATTTAATGCTTATCGAAACGTATAAAAATTTCTTACCGACTACGAATGTTAAGAGCGTAAGTATACTAAGTAGATGAGAGTATCATGAGAAGAAAATACTTTTAACGACTGTGACATTAAAACTCAATGTTTCGGCAGTAAAAATGTACATATTGATTGTTTATTCATAAAAAATATTGAAATTATTACTACTTAGGCAGTTGATGGTATTAAATTTTGAATGAGAACACTACTGGAGGGAGATAGATGTGCGACATGAGTCATATTTCGAATGGAGTCGGACTTAATGGAAGTTTTTCTCTTATTGGCACTGGATATTTAAAAAAAAAAAAACTCATCTCTACTCTGAAAACTAGAGTTTTCTCTTATTTACAAGAATTAATAATATAAAAGCTCGCTGGTTTCAGCATTGTCCTCTTCTGTCAAACTTTCATCGTCAGAAATAGCAGTTCTTGACAGGGTTAATGCAAGAAAATTTATTATCTATATATATAATCCAGATGGGTTGATAATAATAATAACAGTTATCCCTTAAATATTTATCTAAAAGGTCAATCGGCACTAGTAACGACCTCGGAGAATCAACATTGACAACATCAACATCAATACCTTTTCCCCTCCAAAATCATCAGTTTATTTTTAATGACTTATTGAATTGTATTAAATAGAATAGGGATAAAAATACAACCTTGTCTAACACCCTTGTCCGAAAAGAAAGGCTGAGAAGAGCGATTCCTCCATTTAATACTAACATTTGAGCCGCTATATAACTCTCCAAGCAAGAAAACAAATTGTAAACTTAATCCATACTTTAATCATTTCCTCCATAATAGATTCCTATTAACAGTATCAAATACAAATACTAGATCTACAAAAAATGTATATACTTACGCCGTTTACTTCTTAACGTCTTGGAAATAACAGTATAAATAAAAATATTATTAACAGTCGAATAGCCTGCACGAAAACCAGCCTGATCCTCTGACAGAATATCTCTCATATTCAACAAACTTATTAACCTACCATACAAAACTCTACAAAAAATCTTTGAAACACAACCCATTATAACCTTACTGAACTCCAACAAGGACATATTAAATGTCTGCTCCAAACAATGCTCCAAATTAGCAGAAAACCTTACCAGATCACTATCCAAAAAAATCTTCTCATAACAACTACCGATTTCACCCAAAGAACATGTAGAAAGATCTTTCAAATAGAGTACCATAGGACAGTGACCAGACCAGTGACTAAACTTATCGATGCTAGAATAAGAAAACATTCAAAATAACAATTACATTCCTTTATGAGTATTGTTTTATACGTAAAACATTATTGAGAGAATTCAGATTCGGACTGATAAGATAAGTAATGGGCGATCTGCAAAGAAGACGGTGCATGCCGGAGGACTTTCTATGAGAAACATTCCGTAATTCAGGCGTTAGACACGTGAAGAAAATCATAACGTTAAGATAAATTTCTGTTTATACAGTCATAAATGTTTAATATGCTGATTTTTATTAACAAAAAAACTTCTTCGTCGCTGTTGTGTGGTGTAATTGGCATCCAAACAACCGTACTTTCTGCGGAATCGAGTACTTGTTTTTAAAAGACCTGCGGAGGAATTGATTTATATATCAGCTCCTCAAGTTTTAATATCTTCGAATGAAGTAAACGTATCAAAAAGTGAAGAAAACAACTTACGTAAATATGATATCACGAATGTATCTTTTTAAACTTATTTATTGGTCTGCTATTTTAAAAAAATTGTAGACTTATAGGGACAGATAACACTGAGAATTTAATCTCGAGAACGATGTTAGATAGATGAAAGTCGATATCAGATATGGAAATCTTAGAGAGGCTCCGATTAACTATGAATTTCCGGTATAGACAGGATGTCACGTGAATTCGACTCAAAAATTTTACCCAGAACAGAGTTACATTGATGACCGGCATAACTGTTGTTGTCAGGAAAAGTATGATGTACAGGGACAACACACTATTAATTTGAGATAGAAAGCATATATTCTTATTCTCGGGGTCCCTGTAGAAAATATAAACTACCAAGAAAACCGGGACACCCAGCACTCCTCTGATTTCACCCTTATTAACGCCCGGACCCTATGCCCGATCTGCACCAAATTTTTCATACTAATCCTCTGTGACTCCGAGGAAAATCTGTAGGCTATTGCGTACTGACTGCCACATGAGTATAGAATTATCATGAAAAGTATCCTATTATGATGTTATTGATAACTGACGAATACTTGATATCCCATTAAAAAAAACTGATAAAACCAGGTTTAAAAAGTAAAGCTCAGCAAAAACATCTAAAAAAGGAAACTTTTAAAAGTTGTAGCATAAAAATATTGGAAGCGGATTTGATAGTAAAAATAAACATGCGAATAAAGTATACATTAATAACAAAAATGTAGAGTTTAATCATGATTTGTTTGTGAGTAAATACAATGTAACGATGTGTATGATGAGCGTGAGATCATTCCACAATCCCCCACTCCAATGTCAAAAATATAATCAAAATAAGAGCGTTGATTCCTCATATTTTTGACAATATGAGCAACGCACTACCTGAAACTCCGTGCCTGAAATAAAAGTAAAATCGTAAGTAATCAATCAACAATGCGCTAATTAAGGACAGATACTTCCCTCTTTGGCACTATTTGAAACCTAAAAATGAACGATTTTACATTAATAATAACTCTTGCAATGATCAAAAATTGGATTTACACTTATATTTTCCTTATGAAGGCATCGCGTATCTCGAACTTTAAATAATTAAAAAAAAAAGGATCCATGTAAAAATAAAATACGGTAGAGTCTCGTCTCTGTAATCCGGCATAAATCGAACCGGCAGTGTCGGATTATTGAATTTTACATACATGTATTGTATGTGCTGTATAGTAAAAACACGCTCGGTTCACATATTTGTGTATCATATAAAGTATGAAACAATTTCATCCACATTGTTCTGCTGATTTGCAGTAAACAACTAGCGACCGGCATCATACATCAGTCCCTATTACATGAATCGACAAGCGATGACACGAAAATTATGCGCGCTGTCGTGCTACATGCCGGATTACTGGACGAATCGGACGGACTATAAAGACTCCACGATAGTTCATTGTTTTACAGTTAACTCAAAAACATTTTTTAAAAAACGAACAATTATTTATTGTAATATTGTCATAATAAATAATTCGTTTCGGGTCCTAGGGCTTATTGAAATCCAATGGAGCCCCATCTTTTGTTAATACAAATAATACTATAAATTATTATTATTATATTATTAATATTAACTAATTTTTACTATACGATAAGTGTTCATTGTTAATGAAAAAGTATTTAAAATTTATGTTGATAATTCAATTTTTGNATTATTATATTATTAATATTAACTAATTTTTACTATACGATAAGTGTTCATTGTTAATGGAAAAGTTTTAAAAATTTATGATAATAATTCAATTTTTGTGGGCCCTTCACACTTGGGAGCCAAGGTTTAAGCCCTATTAGTTCCTATGTATTGCAATAGATCCAATTAATACGTAATTATTAAAATTTTAAATACAACAATTTTATGAAATCTTTGTGTTTATTATACGGAGAAACATAAATTTACCATTCAGCAATAATCACATTACTTGGTTTCTGCAAAAATTTTAAATTAAACAAACAAGTGCCAGGGATACGTTTCTAGAAATGTATATGTAAGAAATATCATAGTAGGTGCTAGACAAATCTTATGTGGTGTTGTTAACTACACATATAGGCTATACGTACCGCAGTCCGCAATACAATGATAAGTGTTTAGTATCTAGACGTAGCTAAACTACGCATCGTTCCACAATTTTTCGTCAGGGTGCATTGTTTTTTACTCAAAATTTGTTAGAAGACGTACTGTACGTGCTATGCACATTAAAGATATTGTAGAGCCAAATTTTGCGCTAGCGGCTGAATTCTGAAGTAAAAAATTTTTCCCTAACAATTAAATTAGTACACTGGAGCGGTAGGTATACTAAATTTGGTTAATTAAGGTTTGCTCGATAGTTCTTTCTACAGAGAGCTGAGAACACTAACTCTAATTATGATCACCCTGTACATTAATCCATGTTTGTACGGTATGAGTCTTCGCTACTTATAATTGTGTTTTGATTGCAACATAATCTTCTACAGAAAACGCAATTATTTCTTGTCACCTGTTTTCTATACTGCTCAATTCTATAATGTTTTTATTACTGTAATTCTCACGGTGTAAGGCAGTGTTTCCCAATGTGGGGCCCACGCCCCACAAGGGGGCAATTCGATTGTTAAGGGGGGCAATTTGAAAATGAGTTGTTGACCTATTTTTTTTTTTTTTTTTTTAGGCATCAGAATTTTTCATCGAGCTATTCGGACTTGAGTAGCTAATATTGAAAGATTAATCGCGGGCCACATAAATTCGTTAGACAGGCCGTATGTTGGCCATGCCTGGTATAGCCACTGTATATGTTTGGGGGGCATGAGAATTTTAGAAAGGCTTAGGTGGGGCATAGCACAAAAAAGGTTGGGAAACACTGGTGTAAGGTAAGACATAAGCGATTTTCCACAAAAAAGATGCCTCACGAGAGAGGTTTTTAACGGAAACTTGCCCCTCTTTAGATGTAGACAGGTAAAGACAACACCTGGACTCCCAACTCACGATCAATGTTCTGTTTGTTTGTTTAGTTATGGCAACGCAACACTTGGGCGATCTGCCTTCCGGGAGCTCTTTCAAGGGAAACTGGCCCCTATTTAAATGTTACAGACGTGGAGTAAACCCTGAAAACTCCACGTGACCAGCCCGTCCGAGCGAGGCGCGAACCCACGATCGAACTCCCAATGTTCAGGGAACGAAGACCGCTTGGCCACTGGTGGGCCTCCAATGTTTTTAATCTACACGGCCACTGATGGGAAATTTGACAAAGAGATCCATTATTAGGAGGAAGGTGTTAGAACTATGTTGCTGCTTATTAAGAAATGCTAGAAGTCAGACAGACAAAAAATTCTAGATATTATTTTATTACTCTATCTCTTTATCATTCCATTTATAACGTTACTCATCTAAAAATATGGGTTCGCCCACAGAGTTTTCTTTAATGAAATGATAATATGCACTAGTGGATGCGAAAATGTCAGGAGCTTCTTCGTCATCATGAACGCCTCCACTCATTACTCCAATAAGGAGTTGATTACCGCAGTCATCTGTGTAAATTAATGGAGAACCCGAATCACCCTGAAAAATAATGGAGAAAAGATTAATTAAGTAATTTACGTTATGTTAAATTTAATCAATTAAACAATTCTTACGGGCATAGCACGAATTCCTGGTGTTTTCGTTAGAATCTCTTTACCGGTCAGAGTAATGTTAAAAAAATATTTATATGGTCTCGGATCGATTAATCGTACGTCAGCGACAATAAGATTTATTGTTTTATCTCTACGGTCTAAATTATTACATTCAAAAAATTATATTATGTAATTTCATCAATTATAAATTTGTTTGCCCATTAATTAAAACACACATACACAAAACCGCGCGCGCGAATATATATCAATATATTGAAACCTGTCCAAACCGGAACCTGAATAAAACGGAAACCTCACATTGATAGTTGATCGCGGGTTCGTATCTCATTAACGAGAATCAATATTTGGTTGGCTATTTTGGTTTCTCATAGTAGCAGAATGACTTCTTGAACCAAACTGTAGGATTAACCGAATAAGTCAATGCAACACTTAAGCAATCTGCCAGGTTTAGGGAATGCCTACCGGGAAGAGCTTCTATAGAAAACGCCTATATTTAAGTGTTAGACGTGAAGAAAACCAGCAAAACTTCACTCTGTTAGCCGCTTGAACAGACACGAACCCACGACTAACGACCAACGTTCAGTTATTTTATCCACTGTGACATTGTGAAGATGAATTTAGCTGATTAACTCTAATTGCATTGGATGAAATTAACAAGTATATTTAATTAATTACAGAATTTAAAACTAATTTGGACGACTATAAGAGATTAATTGATAAAACAATATTTACTTACTTGGTCCTATCCATCCCCAACCCACCATTTTCGCATACCCGCGTACAAATGATCTCCGTCTAGCCGGTAATGCAATTGGATTAATATCACACAAATCACAAATAGAGTGATTCAAAATTAAAAGGCCAATATCATTAATATTTGTTCGTTGGAAGTCTGGATGTAAGACTTTTCTATCGAAGTAAACTAATTTTCCATTGAATTTATTAACATCGCATATTCTTCCTTCAAGATCTTCGACGGCATTTCTAAGTTAAATAATTAAAATAATATTGAAATTATTAACACGCAATATTTACATTGAGTAAATTAATCAGTTATTCTAATTGGTACACGACTTTTTGCCGCAGGAGATGGACTTTCGTGTTAAATATTAGAAAGAAACCGAATAATATCCTAAAATAATTCGGCAGTTAAATTTAACGTATGCTCAACTTATCTCTCTGGAAGGCTCAAGTTCGAATCTATGTCATTAGATGGATGAAAACCTGGTTTAATGTAGATTTCCCATGAAAAACTTCTGAGACTCAGCAATTTTTCATGGGAAATCTACCATAGAAGATCCATGTTGTGCCCACAAAGATGAAAAAAGTTTAGAAACAGGTACAAGGCCTTCATAGGATTGTCAGGTACCTGATGAAATCCGGGACAAAATGAGTTCTTCCCGAAAGATCTGGGATGCTTCAATTTCAGGACATGCAACTAATTTGTATTTTTACAGAAGAAATACATTTAAAATTTGGAAAAAAAAAATATTTCGTTGTAGAAACAGTTTACAAAAGAAAGTCCTGCTGATGATAGGTGGCAATACTTGAAAACTGGGTCATGAACTACTGTCTGTATGTAGTTCAGAGCATGATAGTTCGTGATGTTTCTGGCGCTCTTTTTGCAAGGGTAGAAGTAAGGCACGGTGAATTGTGCATCATTTGGCGCATAGATCTCAAGATAAAATGATTACGGCGTTGGATAATGAAGCTCTTAATAAAATTAAAGGTGATATAAAAGCAGTCACATATTACAGTATCCAAATGGATTGTACTCCTCATAATTCTCAAAAGGAACGAACTTCAATAATTATTAGATACGTAAATTTGAATATAAAAATATTTTAGGGCCCCTAAAGTTTCGTGCACCCGGGCCTCTTTATAGAGAATACCGGCCCTAATTGACGGAATAAGATAACGCAACACACGATCCATCTGCCATAGGAGAAGTGCCTCCCGAAGGAGTTTCTACGAAACTGGTCCCTATTAAGTTATTAGACATGTGAAGAAAACTCGATAAGGCACGAACCCACAGCCCACTCGTCAATTCATAAATTCCACGTAAACTTACCCATATAACATATGAGCTGCGCCAATTGCCGTTTGTGTAGTAATCATGGAAAATGCACCACGATATCTTTTCAAATGGAAAATAGACATCTGAAAATTTTAAGTATTATAATACCAAAATTAATTACAATTAAAGTTTCTATTTAATTAATATTTACGTCTAAACAATTTGCTTAACTTACTATGTACGGAAATTCGCCATTTTTGGCCGCAGTACCTCCAACTATTCTTTTCGTAATTGCTGAAAATTTCGATAAATTCTTCTCATCTACATCATATTTGTGTGTAATAAACTGTTTATAACTTACTTGAATGAGTTCCATTCACAGTGGCAGAGACATTAAAACAGTAGATTAAATACATGAATACAAAAGTATTTTTTAGTCTGAAATAAACAATAATTTATAACAAAACATGATAAATATCTGTATCATAACAATGCTCTTAAATTGAATAATTTATTACCTGAAAAAATATTCCATCTTTACAAGATATTATCTGCGAAATTATATTATATTGTTTTCGCTGTGTTATACAGTAATGTATTATTTAAATTTCAGCCATGCGAAATATTATACTAGATAATTTGTTCAACAAATATAAATACAATATTATGTTTGTAACACGTTGTCCTGTTTACCGCAGTGTTAAATAAACCAAATATTTAAAAATTGAAAGTTCCAAACTAATAAATAAACAGGAGAAGTTCGTTAATCCCATTACAGTAATGCCAGATTATCGTGAATGCCGGATTATGTGCTTTTTGTGCAATCCGCATGTTGCTGTACATTTTGTCTTTTATGGGAAACTGGTCCCTATTTAAGAGTTACAAACACGAGAAAACGGAGAAAATCCGGAAAACTCCACGTGGCCAGACCGTTGGCCAGGCGCGAATTCACTTTCAGTGTTCAATGGTTTTATCCATTTGGCCACTGGTGGGCATGTTTATTCTGTTTAGATCGATTGAAATCCTTGCAAAAATGTTAATAAACAAAATTTAAGAAATAGAGTTCTTTACTTGTTCACATGATAATGAAACGATGTCAAAGACGCCATGGTCCCGGATAAATTTGCTTTACATTATTTATATCTTGTTAAGTATATATTCTGGATACGATCCGCAAACTAATACTATGTGTGATCTTGGGTTCCATACAAGTTTGATGTGAATATTTCACCTTACAGATAGAAAAGGTATTAATTTTTGCCGATATTCGACATTATTCTTTACATTCGTTATTATAAAGATACTTTAAACTAGGAAGGTAATCCTATCTTCACGTGTAGTATGTCCTTATCGAGGGTTGACTGGCCATAGGACAGTTCTGGCAAATGCCATACATCCCGGTATTGTTAGAAATTATATACGTAAAAGTGCTGTTTGTTGAATTCAAATCATTATTAGTTATATTCAAGTGTAATTTAATTATACAAATACTTTTTATCTCGTCTTTACCGACCCTTTACCCAATATTTTTATTATCTGACACTCTTCCCCATCAAATTATAACTTTCTCTAGAATTATTTCTCCTCTTCCGATAAATTCGCCTGGTACACTACCCTCAATCTCCGCCGTATTTCCGTATTTTAATATTGTGCCGCGATTAGTGCTCGATCTGTACAGCGTTGACATAGCAAATAAAAATCATCAGAGGCCCGAAATCATCTTTGCCTAGGGCCCAAACACCAGTAAAACGTGTATGGAAGTCTCGTGATTGTAGTCGTGGCTCTATCATCAGCCAGGGTCGAAGTTTATGGCTGTTTCTGTAAGGGTATGACTATGCACACGCGAGAATATGTGACGAGGTGATGACTCTTCACGCTTTGTTTCTCGCTCGTATCTGCATAGTCGCACCCTATAGCCCGTGTTCTCATGTCTTATTCCCTTTCATTGAGCCCAACATATATACTAGACTCATATACAAGGTCAGGACACGTCACCATGATGCAATGCGATAGTCTCCATATTGGTTCCGTTGCGGTAGTGTATACGATATTTGTAGAGCGAATTTTGGCTGTTTTTTCGATCTCAATTAGCTGGATTTCTTCAGAGTTAACATCTTTCGTTGCATGTCCCACAAGTTCAAACTTGCTCAACTTAAACCAGTGAGGGCAGGTTTTCAATGGTTTTATTCGTACGGGCGATCTGCCTAGAGGGGCATAATGACTCTTGGGAGGTCTTTTAAGGGAAACGAGTCCCAATTTAGGTGTTACTAACGTAAACAAAACCCGGAAAACTCCACATGGACAGCCCGAGTGGATAAAACCAGTGTTCGGTGGTTTTATCCATTCAACCACAGGCAGATTTTTGGTATGATTTCCGAACAGAAAGAGGAATATTTCTTAATTTCGTCGAAATTGTGACCAAGCCACTTCGGATGGGAAACTTTTTCAGAAGTGTTGTCGCAAATGTACGGTTACAACCCTAAGACCAAGGTTCGGAGTTCTCATTGGAAATCACCCTCCTCTCTCCAAGCAAAAAAATTACGTCAAGGTCCAACATGATGATGATCGCTTTTCTCGATTCGGAGTTCGTATATAAAGGAGTAATAAACATTTGCAAAATGGTGCATGCAGAAAAAGGCAAAAGGTTTCATTCACCATCAAGATAATATTTCCTGCCACACATCACGTATTTTTCTTTTAACTCTTTCTGCCCTGTGGGCACTAAGAGGGCCTCTTTTTGCACGCCCATTATGGGTTCAGCCAGGCCCACAATGGGACTGCCAGGTGGTGAGGGACGGGGTCTGACATATCCGCCGAAAAATTCCTGGGAATTTATCGACCCGTTCGGATTCGAACCTGGGTCCCCCAGAGCAGTAGGCTGCCACCTTGACAGCTCGACCATCCAGCCGCCCAACATCAAATGTTTTTGGACAAAACTTGTCACATGACATTAACATGTGACCCATCCACTATATTTCTCAACTTCGTGCCAAGCAACTTCTGGCTCTTCCCTTAAGTGGACGATGGAGTGTTTTCAATTTCTGAATTTGATGCAGCTCCAAAAGCCCAATTAAAGATACTAATGAAAAAAGATTTCCAAGAATGTTTTTGAAAGTGGCAAGCACACTGGAATACTTGCGATGCAAGCAGAGGAGACTACTTTGAGGGGGATTAATTGCAAGTTTCATGTATTGTCACTATTCCACCATTCACCATACTTTTTATCACCTTTCATATATCAATGGGTCCACATTTCCAGGCCGACACTAGTTATGTTCCCAATCAAAGGTTCGACTATAGTTTTTAAAAATGGACTTTCTATTTAAATCACTTGATCTCTGGATCCTTCCCAAGGATCCAAATTGTGTAGATTGCCCTCAGCTATGGGCCTACTTATGAGTGTTTTTCATTTCAAAATTCGTTAACCTTATCAAATAAATTTAGAAGGTAACAGGTAATAGTTTTTACTGATTTATACACAGATCATGTTTACAAAGTAGACATCTTTGTTCCCTTTTCCTCTTTGTAATGGCAAAAGCTAAAACTAATAAATTATGATTACTTCTAATTGTAATAACTGCAATTCTGTAAGATCTAATTAGAACTTTTAATTACGATGTATCACTTGTATGCACTAATTAACTTTATGGTAATACATATCAATTACTGTTGAATATTTGTGTCTATTTTTATTTGTGTTTATTGAGGTGTAATATATAAACCTAGGTTGTATTACCTAGGAAAGCAGATTTAATATAGCTGGATTAAGCAAGCCAATGATATAGTCCGTTAAAAATGAAAGGACTATATGATTGGTTTGTTTATCCAGCTGTATTAAAGCTGCTTTACCATGCAATGCATCTAACATACTTTAATACGTTTGTTTAGTGAATCATTTTAATGCTTAGAGGATCAAAAAACTGAATTCTTATTATGTATTATTTGTTACTACATCTACAATTGGAATAAGGAAGAAAATGTGTTTTCGTACCTCATCCAAAGCTTTTATTTTCAATCATTTCTAAAAGTTTATTAAACTTAAAAAATGTCTTTTTATTTAACAAAACTTTACATAATTCGACCTATATATATAGACATAAACTTAAGCATAAGAAGCATCCTTTACGTAACATAAAGCAGATATTCGGTCATGCAATTTATTTTAAAAAAAAAGAAAAAATAAATTCGTATTAAATGATCAAAAAATTATAAATCTAACAGCATTCGAACCGTATAGAAAGCTTTATAAATATATTTTGTACAATATTTGCCATACCAATTCCCAATGGGGCAAGTTTAAATCCAGTTTTTATTGAGGGATCTACCTTTAAGAAAAATGGCAGGGACGAGCTTTCATAGGAGAAGTTTTGATCCGAACAGAGAGGGTGCATCATTCTTCGAATCAAAAATTAAATACCAGTACTCGTTAGCTAGGAAGAAACAATTTACTATCCCACTTTTCAATAAATACAGCTTTCAAGTAATCTCAATAAAACAAGAAATATGTTATTAATGAAGTTACTTTTTCTCGTGAGACAAAAATCCATTCACCTTCTATAATAACAGGTATGAATATTTTTTTGTAATGAAATTATATGAAAGAAAAACTCTTGTATATAAACGAAGAAGAAGCGACATAAAACGAAACGATAAGCAAAGTGTACTCAAGAGGTTAAGTTTGCAAAAACGGCATCTTAAAATAAAAAAAAAAAGTACATTTATATATAATATATATATATATATCTTTTTCCCCTTTTCTTTCTTTTAAGATTCGTCAGCTTTATTTTCATTCATGTGATTAACACTTAATTGAAAACATCTCAATAAAAGTAGTATCACATTAATATAATGTTAAGCATGTTTTGAAAATAATACAAAACTTATGCGTGTGTATTTGACAGTTACATTTTTCTAACGTTCCGATAAAATCCATCCACGGTTAGTGAGTGCGCTGCATGAATTCCAACAGGAAATATAAAATATGCGGCCAAAAGAACGGGAGCGGGTTTCGTTTTCCTCCAAGTAAATTTGCGCCAATCGGTTTTTAGTGGGCATATAAAAAACAACATTTATAAATAAAAAGATAAGCTAAATCTTTCGAATATTATGTAATGGTAAAACAACTAGTTTTCTCTTTGTTTTTTTTAAATTCATTTTTCAAACTTTTAACCATCTAACTACATATAATCGTATCGTATCCTTTTATTAATATGATTTTTTTCCCCCTTTTCTTAAAAAAATTAGTTCTGAAGCCAAGTTTTTTTTTCCTGTATCAGTTTTGTAAAAGGTGCTTTTGATGCAATCATTAGTTTTCTAATTATGCAAGACATGCAGACATTCTAACATTCATTTTATCAGGGTACTTTTGCTTTTTCTGCTTGCCTTATGTGACCACTTGACTACACGGTTTCATGTCATAACAATATTTAACTGTATTGATTTTTTTTTTTATATAAAGAAAAACTCCACCCTTAGTTTTTGGTAGTTACACCAAACAACGTTTCTCGAACCATACAAAATCTTTTTTTTTTCCTGCACATAATAAACCCTGGATGGAAAAAGTCTGAGCTTGTGATATTGGCCAATCGAGTGTCTTCGTCAAAATCAGCTGTCAAATTTTCTTTTCCATTTAGACGGGAATCCGATAGTTTGAATTTGGAATTATTCCACCATCCGAAGAACTTTGCCGATTGCAATTGTCTTACCTGCAATGTTAATTCAAATATTAGAAAAAATACTGTTACTTACAAAAGAATGGTAAAGTATTCTGTACGAAAAAGTATTATGTGCCTTCGTCTCTGAGTGTGAAGCGTCCCATCTGAGGGAATTCTTTGAAAGGTTCCAAACAAATCACGCCGGCGCATTCCATTCTCATGATTGCAATCTGGTCCTGCTTGACAAACCTCGGCCGTGTTTTGCTCTTCTCACCCGTTTTCTTATCGATTAAACAAATCAATGCCTGCAATAAAGTATCGACGGATTAAAAACAACCAACATTAGCATAAATCAAAATTTAAATCCGCACGTATGGATATAATCAAAAATATATACTATACATATTTCATTATAAAAAAACAGCCCTGATTAACCAAGATTCCACATTATTTGATGTGTACTACTGCTATTATAATTCATAAAAGCTTTGTGAATGTATAAAGTGAGCAGTAAGACAGCTGGTTACTGTAGGAATGTAGGCTTGACTCACTAACCCCTCTCCAACTGCACTTATGCTGTCTATTTGGTTATTGTCATCAGCATTGTTTTCACCAATATGCCAGTTTCCATTATAATTAAAATAATAAATAATTATGTAATGGTATTGTTTGTTAATTGAGAAATTCAAAGAATTGATTGACAGCAATAAAGGATTTAGAATTGTGTTATTGCTAATTTCTAACTTTAAGTTAATAACAATTTACTGAAAATATATCTTTTCACACACTTCCAGTACAAAGTTTTATACTGTTCGAGCCAATATGCAAGTGAGCCCAAGGTGTCTGAAATGAAGCAAGGCAGTTAAGACGGTTATTCGACATACAAAAACTTGGAATCTTAGAATCTTGGGAAATATTTAACAACTCATAAAGGAAGGAATTCAACACACTATGAAATGAATGGAGGGAATTCGTCCATAGCCCAACAATAAATAGTCGGATCTGAGTCAATTACTATTCTTATTTAACACACATTAATTTTATGATCTTTTTGTTAAATGTTTATATGTATTTGCTATTACTTGGTTAGTTTATTATTTATATCATTTGGTGATCATGCCAGCTTAAAACAAGCACCATAAATCATTTAAAATTGATACATCTATAGAATAAAAATGGAAAGAACATTCCAAAATTAAAGTTCTTGGCAATTGTTCGTAAAACGACAAGTGTAAGCTGAAGTAGACTCTGAAAAAGTCCAAAAACATTTGTAATTGTGAAACTTTGTGATGCAAGTGTGTGAAAGGTGTATTTTACTTATTCTACATGTATTCTGATAATATTAATAACAATTTAATTAATCAATAGGTTTAGCCCTCATTTCTGATAATACTCCTTATTTACCATTTAAACAATCTTCCCCCTTAATCCAGAAAAATAAAATTGATTTAGATTAAAAAAATCGTTAACAAATGCAAGCTTAGAAGAAATTAACACTTACTTTGACAGATACTTCTTCTATAGAAGCATGTATGTGTAGAACAGCACTGTAGCCAGGGCAAATGATTGATTTGTGTTCTAAAATAACCACCTATAAAAAAAGATAACAATTAAAAAAAATCCATTTTGATTTATTACTATCAATACAGTCATACCCTGGACTTACGCGATAGGTGGGACCGAGCGATAACCGCGTAAGTCAAATTCGCGTAAGTCGGGGTATAATTTTGCATATAAATACATACAAATTATTTTTAATTGGGGCCGGAGACTAAAGAAAACAATAATTTAGAAAAAAATGTTTAATAAAATCTTAGATAATACATACGTATAACGAATTATATTATTATACAATTTTTCTCATTTACTTGATTATCACACCATAATTTTAACATTGTTTCCATCTCAACGATAATACCGTGACGTTTACGAATTATGCTTGAATTTAAAGATTGAGCATTTTTCAGTTTCGAGAATTTCTTCTTTACCTTTTATAATTGTTCTCACTGTCGATTCAGGTAGATCAAACTTCTTTGCCAATTCACAAATTTTCATTTTTGTATCGAACTCTTTAATAATGTTAACTTTACATTCCAAAGATAAAGTGTTTCTTTTCTTGTTTGATGCGGAAGAATCAGTTGTACTTCGTTTGGATGGCATAGTAAAGTGTTAAGATTAATCATATTCGTTATTCGTTATTGTAAACCGCGCTTAAGTTAGGCGCCATCTGTTCATTTCTTTTGTATGTCCAACGATCAGAAGACCGTTTGGGATCGAGTCTGTTTATAATTTGAAAGGTAATCTTGACAGTTGTATATACAAAAGGTAAATTGTTTACAAAATGAGTCTTTGTTTATTATTTGATAAATGTATACTTTTTTCGTCAATTGTTCATGATTGCAGATGCCTTTTGTGTAAAATCCAAGTGGATGTATGTAAGCTAATAAATCTTCTCGTTAATCTTATCTCGCCTTTTGGTTCGTTCACGGTTACAAGAAATCACCACATAGAGTCTCTCGAGTCTCCGTAGATATAACAAACAGAAATAAATTTCACAAAATAAATTGTAGCTATGCGTCGATTCTGCGCGACACGTCCGAACATGTAAGCCGAACAATAGTGTGGGGGAGAGAATAATCGAGAGTTGCATGGCGCTCAAACAAAAGACGAATCGACGAGATTTGAAAATCACGTAACTCCGGGTTCGCGTAAGTCGGGGTAGCGTAAGTCGGGGTATGACTGTATATTAAATTATTTAACAAATAATTTAATGATCTGTTATATCAAATTTAATAAATTGCAGTTAATGGCATTATAAGACGAGTGGTAAACAATTGACTTTATTTGCGTAAAAAGTCACCCTAATTTGCATTACAAGAATTTAACATATTCAGTCATTTACAGAATTAATTTTTGTAGCTAAAAATGTATAACTTAACAACTTTCTATATTAACTCAGGAATAATACATATAATGAAGCAAATTTTAATACACAACTTACCTGAGCATCAAATACTTTTCCTGTTCTACAAGGATTCATAGCATCACAAAGCACAAATCCTGAAGAAACTTCCTATAAAAATAAAATTCAATAATTTTAATCTTTTTAAAATATAATAAAGATATTTTTATATTAGAATTAATGGCAATTTTATGATTAATTCATTCTATATGTACAAAAACAATTGTCGCCTTGTATATGGCCTGTTTTGCAAATCTCTGCTGGGCATTTAGCAGAGTAGCAGGAACCGATCTACTTATGTAGTGAAGGAAGCCAACTGTTGACAAATCTATGACAAAGTCAATGCACATTAACAAAACAGGGCTCTTGAACTTTTAAAAAACTTTCAGAACCCCGAGTACCGCACATCACCCAGCCCTCGTATGTGAAATGATCTGTTCTATTTATAATTACATTCCAAGATTACACAAATTAAAAACGAATTTAACACATTTTAGTATAAAAAGAGTTCTTCTCAACAAGCTACATTAGTATCTTAAGTCGTCTCAAATTACCTTATTTTTCAGCAACTACTTAACTTCAAAGAATAACAAGAATCTATTTGAAATTAATTAGGAAAATGAAGAATCACAATTTTAGTTCAAAATATTGCACTTGGCTAAATAAAAATTAATTATTAATACAGACTGAGAATTTGCATCTTTAGACACACAGAATTTTGTCAATGGATGTTCCATTATAATCTTATGGCATCTCCATACATTAAGTGGCACTTAGCCATATCTAAAATAACAAGATTGGTTGAAAACAATTTCATTAGCATTTTCAAATACAAATCTCATCTTCAGATGATTCATCAAATAAAACATCTCTTAAAAACTGAGCAAATTCTAACATTTTTAACATCGAACTTGAGAAATTCTTAAAGATATTGTCCTTGATGAGTAATCCAAAAACAGAATTTGTTCTCGAACATATTGAAAGAAGTTAACTGAAAAGAATTTCATATTTTATGGAGTCTTTTTGAATTAAATTTTATAAGAAGTCCTCCAATTCTGACTTCAGACATATTCTTCGTGTCTTTCACTGTTACAGATACACAATCAACTCTCAACAAATTTGTTGTTAATTATTCATTCATTCATTACATCTGCTATAACATAAATTAACCAAGTACAGCAGTAATCAAACTAAATATTTTAATACTATTAGAATACACTCGCTTCCTTAACTCAAACTTTATAGCAGTGAAATCAAGCAAAAGTACATTCAATGCATTTTGTGCTTCTACAAGACAAAGTAGTTTCAAGGTCACATTTCGCTAACTCAAAATTTAAGCTCTGAGATTAATTTCATGTCTAATTTGTTTTGCATTCTTACTTTTGTGTTTTCAAGGGTATACAACAATACAAACTTGAAGACTGTTACTAGATAGAGTTGTCTCTGGATGATGTAAGATTCAAAATTTTAATGACATATTACAGCTAATAATTTTATTCTTAAACTGCAAATCTATCAATCAAATTTCAGCAATTCAAATCCTTTAGATTTTGAATATTTTGATTTTTAAAATTTAAAATATGTAATAAACACACCTGTGATTTGACGTGTTGCTCAATTTTTTGACTAATAAATCAGTTTGTCTGTATGTATCACTTGTTCAGAACTAAACGTTGCAGTGAAGTTTATACAGCATAAAAGTTTGAATTACATGCAAATAGTGACTAGTTAGACAGTGTACTGACCATTTTACTTCCAAAGTATATGGAAATGGCAACAAAGAAACTACAGATTTTGTCATTAGTACAAAACCCACTGTAACCATAGAGGGAAGCAAAAACAAAAACTTGGATGTTCTGCTGAGTACTCTCCCTACATATTTCAAAAACAAAGAATTAGTAACCAGATCAAGTAGCTCATCAAAACATTATTTTTTTCTTCTTCAATGAGATGTGAAATTGAGTTAAACTGAAACGAACAAACCTACAAGTTATTGTTTTATATGATGCTTATTGCACGTTATAATATTAAATTTAATGCTTAATTATTGTACTGTGAATTGGTGAGTGCACCAAAGTTTTTCCACACACTTGTTCTGGCTGTCAGAAGTGCAGAGGTCCTAAGTAAGGAACTGACCATACACAAAATTTGGATATCATCAGTAGTATTTTTCCCAATCTTGCAATAATTTATTATTTATATACTTACAAAAATATATTATTAAACTTCATAAGAAATAATGCAATAATCTTACTTCTTCTTCTACTCCTTTTAACTTTATCTTGACATTTTCACCAGATGTCACCGACAAAACTTCATCTTCGTCAGACCATAGTTGTAAAACTTCCACAGGTTTCTACAGAACAAAAGTTATATTATATGTGCATGTATATTTAAATTAAATTGAGATATACTATTTACTTATTTAAAACAGAGAAATTCTTAATATTAAATAAGTGAAACTGAAGTTTTTACTGGCGTAATCTTTGTTTCTTAGCCTATAGTAATCAGTAATTGTTTGCCATTCCTGTAATCATCATCAAACCAAACAGTAGATTAAATTACATCTTAAATACAGGCCAATACATTTTTAATTCAATATTTATACATAGTTATATTATGATAAATGAGAAAAAACANTAATTCTCAAAAGGAACGAACTTCAATAATTATTAGATACGTAAATTTGAATATAAAAATATTTTAGGGCCCCTAAAGTTTCGTGCACCCGGGCCTCTTTATAGAGAATATCGGCCCTAATTGACGGAATAAGATAACGCAACACACGATCCATCTGCCATAGGAGAAGTGCCTCCCGAAGGAGTTTCTACGAAACTGGTCCCTATTAAGTTATTAGACATGTGAAGAAAACTCGATAAGGCACGAACCCACAGCCCACTCGTCAATTCATAAATTCCACGTAAACTTACCCATATAACATATGAGCTGCGCCAATTGCCGTTTGTGTAGTAATCATGGAAAATGCACCACGATATCTTTTCAAATGGAAAATAGACATCTGAAAATTTTAAGTATTATAATACCAAAATTAATTACAATTAAAGTTTCTATTTAATTAATATTTACGTCTAAACAATTTGCTTAACTTACTATGTACGGAAATTCGCCATTTTTGGCCGCAGTACCTCCAACTATTCTTTTCGTAATTGCTGAAAATTTCGATAAATTCTTCTCATCTACATCATATTTGTGTGTAATAAACTGTTTATAACTTACTTGAATGAGTTCCATTCACAGTGGCAGAGACATTAAAACAGTAGATTAAATACATGAATACAAAAGTATTTTTTAGTCTGAAAGAAACAATAATTTATAACAAAACATGATAAATATCTGTATCATAACAATGCTCTTAAATTGAATAATTTATTACCTGAAAAAATATTCCATCTTTACAAGATATTATCTGCGAAATTATATTATATTGTTTTCGCTGTGTTATACAGTAATGTATTATTTAAATTTCAGCCATGCGAAATATTATACTAGATAATTTGTTCAACAAATATAAATACAATATTATGTTTGTAACACGTTGTCCTGTTTACCGCAGTGTTAAATAAACCAAATATTTAAAAATTGAAAGTTCCAAACTAATAAATAAACAG